GTAAGTTCAGTCACTATTGACCCAAGGCCATGGAAGCTTCAGCCTAAAGCTGTATTCGTAACTTGCCCAATTCGAGCCCTATTAGAATGGGAGTCGAGTCATGAACGGATGCCCCCGCTTTCTCTTAACCTCTTCTCACCTACTTCCCCAACCCCTTTGTATTCCAATCTCGTTCAGCCCGCCAATAATGACGCAAAATGCTACGTAAGGTTCCTACTACTCCCTCATTGGACGAAAGTTCGAGTATGATTGTCTATCATAAGAATCAGTTCACCTCGGTGCTTACTTACTTGCAGAAAACTGCTTTGACATTGTACATCTTGCGAGATCATCACTGATCAAAGCTTGTGAACAAGAGCTGATCGACTGAAACTGGACCGTTTGAAAGCAACCTGATTTGAACGATCAGGACAGTCGTCCGAGGAGAGATCATGTTTTCATTTTGAAAATCGTGGCATAACTCTGAAGGGGACTCACTGTTTGGTCAGCTGTCGACTCACAGCCGCATGCGACAACGAGATGTGAAGGACGAATATAGACATCACAGCAGCTGAAATTGAATAATAGGGATTTTTAACAAGTACATTTGGTTCTAGCCAATATATTGTTTTGCCTATAAAGCCATGACTTTTATAGTCGGTAACAAATGACTGCGTAGTCCGAGCGTTGTGACGCAACAACTAGCAAAGAAAGGGGCCCAGTTGAGTTGAGCCTTTTTCTGAAAGAGTTCGTTTGCAGGCATCTAATGCCAAACTTCTACAAATGGAAATAACGAGGACTGAATACTCGTAGAATTTCCCATTCTAAAGTTCGATTCGTATAAAAGTATACCAACAAAACAGGAATGGGCCTCAGCGTAGCTCACATCTGTATGAAACAAGTAGGCAGGAGATTTGAGAGTATATGCTGGGGTGACTTTCATCAACGTAGAGAAAAAACTGGCAACGAAGTAGAATTTTTCAAAAGGTCAGGCGTTCATAGACACTCACCTGACGGGTTCTTGCCATAGAGAAGCAGTTAAGGGAGTCTGAAAACGTACATTTAATTTCATTGAATTCTTTGTATAACGTTTCAAAGCACGTTCATTGCTACACTTTGGAAACTGGTATATCCCAAGACAAAGATGAAGTTTTCAGCCAAATAATTCAATCTAATAGTAAGACCGTCCTCATCATGAGCTTTCTCTTCGGAATTCCATTTATATTCAGATCTCTCTATCCACTATGACCAGTTTGAGAGAGCCATTTTGTATCTTTTTGCTCCAAATTTTGCGATATGGATGAACTTTTTACATATTGGGCTCGGTACGAGCAACTCTATATGTATATTAAGAATTTATGTTGAAAGTCCTGGAAAAGTTCTGCCTTGGGCTTCATTTTTACAGTTGTGAACACAGTAACCTACGTTGATCGACTAGTCGATGGCCCGAGCGCTCGTTTGGGCGAGCCCCTCTGCACTCTCCCAAAAACCCCCTTATCTGATTTTTTGTCAGTTCCTCGATTTCAATCAGCCGACTGTTTTCCCCGAGGCGGATATGAAGATAATCGCTCTTCTGCGCAGAATTTGACGATCTGAATGTCAAGGTTGTTTGGCAAAATCCCGGTTCTGAGAGAGCTAGTGCTCCTTTTGAGCTGAGGCGTGGTAGTGGTCTGCTAACCTTCAGCGTAGTGGTGTGGCGGTTGCTTTGAATCACGTCTGTTTCGTCGGGCCACCGGTTTTTACAACAGACCACAAAGCCGAGACAGGCATAGCAAAAATCGTAACGCACGGAGGTCGTAGCAAGGGGAAGAGGAGTCATTTGACGGTGATGGAATATCCTGATTTTGAAGCTCTGGATAGCAGCGGTTCCAAGCAGGAAAATTGGTTGAATAGGAAATACGAGTAGTGCCCAAGGTGCATAATTCGAAATTCTGATGTTCATTTAATGATTCGATAGTTCGAAAAAGGCTTACTTGTGTGGGCTGCGGGATCGCTCCCTTACTGAGGTAGGAATAGAGCTCAGAAGAGCTGGATGGTTGCCGATCGTCAATGTATGGGAAGCTGAAAGAAAAGCTGCCTACTCGAAAATTTGTTGTGACATCATGGCCAACCTTGCAGCGATCTTTGAAATTCAGAAATTTCATGTTTTGGCAAATTTGTGAACACTCCAAAAGACATCTCAAATTTTGGAAGAGTAAATTCTGAACTTACCATCTTGGTGAGGCGCCTGGCGGATGCACACTGAAAAATTAAAATATTTCTTTTGCTAATGATACTCATAAGGGCTCAAAAGAGAATTCGGAGATAGGAAAAATTCGGGAAAAATTTATCAATGGGCTGTTTGCCATACTGATTTTTTATGAATACTTTGAACGTGCTTCTTTACAGACCGATGGAGTTGGATAAAAAATAAGGAATTACGAAAAAAGAAAAGGACGAGTTGACCACACTTTGGTGGAGAGTCGAGCTTGCTTATGACCTAAGGGAAGTGTCGAACAACCCTAATACATGTTTTAGAACGAACATACCATTTCACTTTGACTTGAGGCTGTTCTACGTTGGCTTCGGCTTCACACTGTCGTATATCGTCGTCTCTGAATCAATAAATCGGAGCTCTAGCTTTTGCCTGGGATCTGGGATGGGAACGAGTCAATTCGTTACCTATCCCACATCCCCTCGCCCACACCACTAACATCACCGTGACTTTCAATCGATAGAAAAGCCTTATCGGTAATGCTCACACTAAAATTTCTTGATTGATCGCTTCTTGACATGAGATCGGTGTTGTGAAGTTGAAGGTGATTCCTGAAGATAAAATGGGAGAAGTTTCCCTCTCATGGCTATTTTGGGGGTTTGGGTTTCATTAACTGTACGATGGACCTTTAAAAATCAGAAAAAGAGGAATTACCTGTAGGTATAGACCTGTTGAATACCGTACAGGACTCGTCCATTATGCATATATTACCGTTCTAAAAGAATTTTGCATTTAGGTACTGTAGCCTTCGTGAAAATGTTTGTTAAATGGTCTTTTAAAAACACTCACGGCTTGCTTACAATTACACGCAGTCATTAACTGGTTTTCTTGGACCGCAACAGAACAGCAACTCGGCCTGAATCAGTTTTGGTTAAAATATTTTTATTTACTTTTTTAATAGGTCTTTCTTTTTCGAACTACTTTTGCCCTGTCAAAAGTTCTTTCTTATTTGCTAAAGTTTGCTTTCTTATTTATTTTGCCTTTCTATTTAGTTTGAATCCCCTCAGGGCTTCAAATAGAGACCAGGACGGCCGCCACCGTGATGATCGGATTCCTTTACGAAGGTTCTGAACGAAAGGATTGCTATGCCTCGTGCTCCTCAAGCGAGAACTGCTGACTGGACTACACTGGTTCGCAATTGAGGCGAATGGAGGGAGGTCCTACCGTTGTTCACTCTAGGAAATCGATAATCTGTGGGACAACAGGTGAAGTAGGTGATTTAGTAGTTTAATGTTTTGATTGTGCTGTGAATCACCACTTACCCGACTATCGAAGTCATCACACTTGCTGAGGGATTGACCATAGCCGAACTTGGAATAGAAGCAGGCTGAATAGAATTGCCTACAGTTTTTAAACAAATAAAGTGCTCCATCACTGTACAGGAATTTCCTCCTGTGGAAAGCTCACCTGGTTAATTTGTGTGAAGGCATCGACCAGTCTTAGGATTGGACTTACAACTGGATTCTGAGCATCAGTAGGTGTACTGAAGAACAACATAATATTACTGGTCCAATGTTATATTCCACCATAATGCTACTTCGGTGCTTGCCTAATTTGCCACCAAATGTCTGGACATCGTCTAGATAGTCTAAATCAATTGTCCTGCTACGTCTCTTAAAGACACAGTTCACGATAAAAACGGTTTTCTGAGGTCTTCCCCTAAGAATACGCAGTGGCCCCCAAGGGTAACAAAAAGAACGCTGTATACAAGTCCCAAAACTCTATAGGCAAGGCATAGTGGGGGCGCCGTCACCGGATCGCCCGTACGTCCCTCCCCTCCATCGATGATACGTCAGACGGATGTTGGGGCGGTACAGATTACAATATTCGCTTTAGGACCCACACACAATTGGCTGATGAGGCGATATTTTTCTTCCATTCTATTATTCTCTGTTATTCTTTTTGCAGCTGCAATCCTTATTCTAATTTTCTACCACAAGAGGCTAGGAAATGTGGACTATTTTGCTTTTACCAAGGGTTTTGGTAACTTACGCTTATGAGTGATGACTTTTACCTACCGTAGTCAGTATTCGCACCAGGACCCTTACGTATGCGATGACACTCACTGTATAGCTCGTCCGAACGCCCCATTTTTCTGGTCTCCCTCTCTTCCAGCCCCCTTTTTAACGATTTTTCGAAGCCTTTTTTCACTTTGAAACTCCGATCCACGCAGTTTCTTCACGTTCATCGCACTATTTTCCATCTTATCCTTCATTTTTCGTCGTAATCTGGATCCTCCAAAATTATCGTGAACTGTGCCTTCAAAGAGAATCCTGTCTCACGAAGCTCTCCAGCACCTGCGAAAAAAAACACCTTCGATAACTATGCAAATTCAGAAGTCTCACCAATCCTGAGGGTTTTGTCCAGATCCGGGATAGCTGAAAATAGATGATTTTTCCTAGTTTAGCAAACTGAGCGTAGAGGAGATGAACTAATTTTTGGCGGTTGAGGGCAAAAACCGAGCTGATGGTTCGGGTGGAGCGTAGTGTTGTGCAGTTGAACGTACGAGATCATCTTCGCTCACAAGGCGCTCCACCCTATCATGCAGCGCAACATCTGCCTTCATCTGGGCGATCTGCATTTATGCTTCCTTTACCACTCCTTCAACTCCTGTCTATCCGGGAAGAAGTGATAACCGAGAAAGAAGGCTATAACGTCGCAAACGTACCATGTTTTCGTTAGCGAAAGAGGAATGCCGATGCTGAAAGCTCTAAATTCACAATCTAATCAAGTCCTTCAATACTGTTACAAACTTCACCTCTAATCTTTTGGAGTACATAAATGTTATTATATAAATAATGATTATGCTTGTAGAAAAGCGATACTCATCATAAAATATGTGCGGTAAAGGAGGGGAACTGTTTGAAGGGGACTTTGGAAAATTCGCTTAAACTCACCAAGGGGCTCCTGGCTGACGAGGAGGAACACTGGAAAGAGAGCTGTTATCGTTACGATACTGATATGGCCATTTCAAAACTTAAGACACTCACCATCTGACTCGAAGTCGAGCCCGAGTAGCACGTTTGCTAAATAGTAGTGATGAAAAGCCATCAAAACTTTTTAGATGATTTTAGCGGAAAAAATCCATATCTCATAACTTACCACATGCTTGGATCTGTGCCCGGAAAGGTTAGACTGAAATGAAAATCATCAAAACGATTTATATTGATCGATTTTTCGATTTTTTTATAAGCAATACATTGATAGTCCCCTAATAAAGCTCCACATTCACTCCCAATCGCAATACATGGAGTTCTCGCTTTGCCTGGAGAATATTCGAAAACTCGAAGCTGCGTAACTAGCATGACCACTCCGCTGCAGAAGGGGAAACTTTTAAATTGATGTTCTGGTCAATGAAGTCCGTTTATTCTACTGAAAGTATCAACTGAATATGTATCTCTGGACGGTGCATAGGCCGGGTAGCATCCCTATCCGTGCCTCTCTACCCGCGGAAACTGTGCGGCGAAGTTCGTAACGATTTGAACTACTTCAGTGCCTATCATGGGGGCCCAAATTTGAAGTAGAGTAGATTAGAAGGATCATCTGACCCTACTGAACTAAACTACTTTGAGTTTGGGCCTCGAAAATTGGCGTCATAGTCGTAGAAATCGTCACAAATTTCGCCGTGCAATTCGCCGCGCGCGTCCTCGGACGCACGTAGTGCACGTCGCTCAACCCACTCATGTGTTTTTTGATGAAAGTAGGTAGGCCTTACTTGCCCTCTTCCCCCCC